CACTGCTAAAGTAGTGGAAAGATGAATTCAGTGAGTACCTCAGTGCTAGCTTTCCATTTTTTGCTTTTCATAATAAAGTTGTTTCAAGTAACTGTGAAGTAAGAACACCTCACATCATTTACATTTATCTTAAATAGAATTCAATGAAATATTTGCATATAAGCATGTTGGCATGTCCATACACAGAACTGAAAGTAACAACCAATTACATCTCACTCATTGTAATTGCTGTTCTCTCTCTGCACTGCTACAGGCTACCCTGACCCTGAGGTAATGTGGTACAAAGATGACCAGCCTGTCAAGGAATCCCGTCACTTCCAGATAGATTATGATGAGGATGGGAACTGTTCTTTGACTATTTCTGAAGTATGTGGGGACGATGATGCCAAAAAGCTGTCAACAGCCTTGGGGAAGCCACATGCACCGCAGAACTCCTTGTGGAAACAATGGCAAAAGAAGGAGAAGATGAAGATGAAGAGGAGGAAGAATGAAACAAGGCTCAAAGAAAAAAAAAAGAATAAAATTATATTTAAAGACTATCCTTATAAGGCTCAGAAAAAAAAAGTTATCAAAAGCACCTTGTGTGATACATAGGTCTTTGGGGGGTGTTTTTTCAGCATGATCAGTTGATACCTGTGTGCTTTCTCTATGGGCATTAATTCAAATCAGCAGGTGATTTGAAGTTGCTAGCATGATTGCATTTACGTTAAGCAAGTCATCAGCGAAGTTGCCCAGTTGATTTTTAAATCAAATTTATGGAAAATAAGTCTACAATTATATTCTGAACATCTTACAGAGAAACAGCCTATTTACTGAGCTCACTGCTCTACGCCATCACTTTCCTCAGCCAAAACTGCAGCTAAGTTGGCTCCCCAAGATCTACTTTACAAGGAATCATCTGCCAGACACACAGGGAATCTAACCAGTCCTAGGAAACAGGTTGCTCCCTGAGCAGTGTCTTCTGTAAGGGAAGGTCTGGCACAACCTGCACAGCCATTTCTACATTGGTAGGGTTCATTTCTCATTTGTTTCAAACAGAACTTCAACCACATTTACTGCCCTTTCTCAGTGTGCTGTTGGTGCCGCTGTAACACTGGTTGAAGTTAAACATCCAGGTGGTCTCCTGAGACACTGTTGATCCTGCTTGTAACCAAACCAGCTGATCCCACCTTGTTGCCTTTCCCTCACAGAACCTGTCACTTCAGTGCAGTTACAGCTGCCTACTGAAGGAACAGACTGAAAACACAAAGACTGCAAATATTTCCTGTTGTTCTGGTCAGTCTAATCATGACTTATGATTCATACGTATGCTGCTGTGAAAAAACAGGTTATTGCACAATATGTGACTTCGATGTGCATATGTGCGAATGGAATACCAGGTTATAGTTTTACTTGCATTTATTTGGTGATTGCAAAACAGATTTCAACTGATGATAAGCTGGAAACTCCCACAGATTTTTGGAGTAGCCAAAAAGTTAGTAGCCTGGATTACAAACTCCTTTATACTTAGCAGTTTCCAAAGAATCTTAACCTATATAGGACCTATTCCTACTTTATGAGCTTGACTGTCTTGTTTTTGTCTTGAACCTGCACCAGTAAGGCTGCTGCATTTTTTGAAAATGCAGAAAACCAAAACCAAATGGAGACACCCAAACCCCAGGGTTTTTCTCAGCAATGGTTAATGCACTCAGATTTAGTAACTTTGCTTTCCTTTCACAGTATTGGCACTTTTTAATTTTTGTTGTTGTTGTTCAGAGGTAATATCAGAGCCTGCAAAGTGATATGCATAATCCAAACCAGCGTGTCTTATATCTATGTATCAGTCCCAAAATGATTTTCTTTTCCACTTTTTGTGTGCAAAGTGCAACCATTTGCATTTCCAAGGTTACCTCTTCTAAAAGAACCATTACCTTAACTCCTCACCAGTAAGTAGTCAGTGTACTTTCATACAGGTGTGTACAATATCAACCTTAGCTTGTTTGATATTACCTAGTTGTGTATGTTTCATATGATTTGCTCTTCTACATTCAAAGCTCAACTAATGTGGATGACACGGTGGGTTTTAACTGCTTTAATCTTTGTTGCTAAATTCAGATTGCTAGCATGTCTTTTCTTTTCGACTGATGAAACCCTCATACTAAACACAGTATTGCCACAACTCCTTATACAAAAAGGTTTTGAATCTGATTTAGAGCATACAGAGCTTTTCACACTTTTTTTATGTTTTACGCAAAAATGGGCTGTATTTTGTACCTTAATAAAAATATGCTAATGTTCTCCCAGTTTGTTAAACCATCAGAATTGCAAAGATGAGAATGCTACGGCTGTAGTTACACACAGTTCCTAAATAAATAATACCACAAAGCATGCTCCTTGTATACTCTATTGCAGACGTCACTGTGTTCATGCTAGCTAAGCCTATCAGTACCCTTGGTCTTCTGTTCTGTCCTGAGAGCACCCTGGTTCACAAATGGACCTGGTGGTAACAGGGAAACCTTCTTGATCTTGGTGGTGCTGCTGTGCTTTCCCTACCCTGATGGCGCAGGCAAGCTATGTGCAGAGGCTGCTTGGCCCAAGTGCCATGAGGTCCAACCTGGCTGTAGATGCTGGCACTGGTTGTAGCCATGTGCACTGCCACACAGCTCCAGCCTCATCACATTCTTTGCAATGGACAGAAGTGTAAATGTGGATGGAGCATCACGACAGCTGTAGTCTTCTTTGACAGCTAAGAATTCTCTTAAGGTGGGGAAAGGTATAGTTCGAAAAGCCTGTTAAGAGCAAAAGGAAAAAAATCAGGGAAGCCTTAATGTAGATGCATACTTATACCAATGCTCCAAAAGACCATAGAAATGAAGATACTTTATAGAAATACACTTGTGCTGCATTTATGTGGACTTCTACTGCACAGTCCAAGACACCATGGACCATGCAGGACCACATAGAAACTCCCTAAAGCTAAGCCTGTGAAATACTCTGCATGTAGGAACATGTTTCTTGAGCAAAATGTCAGCCCTTGAGACAGTCATTCTTGCAAGATGTGCCTGTCCTGTCAATGTACCTACCCTTACCCACTGATTGCTGGTTTCTGGGCAGGTAGAGATATGCATAATGTGGCAAAGGATGCAGCTCTAAGGACCTGGTCTGTGGGCGCATGTTCTGGGTATCATACCCCACAGACTCAGTATTGATGTTTCTGCACAGGTTTTCCCTTCCCTTCCTTCATTTACTAGTCCTTCCACGTCCCACTGGCTATAACTCCTGATTTTATTTTGTCCCCAAGGATATAATTACCTGTTGCCTCCTATTTACATGTTTCTAATCTGCAGGAAACTATGACCTATACTTGAAAAATGTGATACATATCTAATTCACTGAGCAACTGACTCCAACCTGTATCTGACCTTGAATTTTCTGTTTGAAAAATAGGATTCTACTTCCACTGAAGAAGGGTCTCCTATACACTTGAAATCCTGCTTCATTTTGCCAGCCACCCTTATTGGTCAAACAAAAGGTATTTGTTCTTCCTACAAACCTGGTTGTGCTCACATAATGCTTGCAGAAAGCCACATCTGGGGTGCAGTTGGGTTGAAACACTCCCCAGTAGCAGAGGTCATGCAAGACACTGGTACTGCGTGACATGGGCCGCTTCATTCTTCTTGTATCTCTTCTGTACAAAATTCAAGTTCTCAAGAGACATGGAAAATTTGGGCCTGGTTGCTGCTTTTCTGTACTCAGGTTTCTGGAGTTGCAGAAATTTAATTTGCTTAATCACAGGCCTGTCCAACTGCCCAACCCTATTTCGGCATATTTCTGGTTGATGGAGAGGCCTTTGTTAATTGTACGTGTGGTACATGGGGACTTTAGTGTCACTGTTTCTCTCTGCTCACAAGGAAGACAGCACAGCGCTTCATGGCTCTTGCCTCTGTAGTGTCAGGCTTTTAAACTGTAGAAAGTACTTTTAGTTGCATACATGAATAATGTATGCTCTCTAAAATTTTTCCATTTCATACATGTATTTTGTGCATTTTCTCTATTGCATGTTTCTCTTGAAATTTCTTGGCATATTTATTGAAACTTCGCACCAAAACACTGCTGTTTGAAAATGAAATTCTTGTAAATCATCTTTGACTTTTGAACCCTTCTGACTGCAAGAGATGTCCATGAACGCCATGGATCTATTAGGCCACATAAATACTTCTGTGAAGGCAGAACCTGCCGGACAGGGGGGGAGGCTTGTTACTCTGCACTGCTCATAAATGAACTGCACTGTAACCAGCACACAAAGTATATTGAGAATTGTTTCTGGACGTTGAGAAGTTAACTCCACAAAGTACTTACAATTTCGGGGGGCGGAGGAGGGAAGAGGAAAGTTAAATAAGCATGGTGGCTCTTTGGGAAGGGAGTTCTAGTTCTATCTCCCTTGAAGGGGTTGCTTGAATTTGTGCTGCTGTGCAAGTAACTCTACCCAGGCTTTTGCCATTACATGGAACTTCAGCAGAACGCACGTTACAGCCCCAGCTGCACTCGGCTTCAGCAGTTTACTCAACTGTGGAAGTGATGAAAACCTAGCGAGCATTCCTAAAGTAACCTTAGACAGCTAACGCTACTCAGTTCTCTAAGGACGTGACAGCCATATGCCTGCAGCAGTCAGCCCGCCGAGGGGCACTTTCAACCTGCTCTAAAACGCGACCGCAAAGGCCGTTTATCGCCGGCCTCACCACAGAGCCCTACCGGGCGGGCACGACGAGCGACACCGAGCTCCATTCTGCGGGAACCAGAAGACCCGGCTGCGGCCCAGAGAGCCCCCGGGCCCGCTGTGAGAATGCGACACTTCCTCCTAATCCGATCCCAATCGCGCTGAGGGCGGCCGCCTTACCTGCCCCCCCCAGAGCTCCCTTCCCGATGCCGGGGGCGGAGTCTAACAGAAGCCCGGAGCGTCCTGCCCGCCTCCAAGATGGTGGCTGCGGCAGAAACCGGGGAAGCCCCGCCCCGCCCGGCGGCGCTGCCGTACGCTGAGAGCGGGCGGAGGCCGCAGGAGCACTGTAACATGGCGGCGTCTGGCAGTGGTGGCAGCCGGGTGGATAACGGCTACAGCAGCCAGCAGCCGCGGCGGAGGAAGGGTCCGGGTGCCCTGGCCACGGCCTACCTCGTTATCTACAACGTGGTGATGACGGCGGGGTAAGGACGTGTGCAGGGGCCGCCCGGTGAGGCCGATGGCGGGGGGTCTCTCTGGCAGGGGCGCTCCAGCCGCCTGCGCCCTTCTCCGCGCCCCGTCTGTCTCCTGAGGCCGCCGCCTTCCCTTCCATGGGGGAAACTTTTCCTGCCTCACGCGGCAGGGAGGCGGCAGGCCGGGGCTCGGCGGGGCCCGTCCCGTCGGAAGCGGCGACCCCCGAGGGCGGCTCTCCGCGCTGTGCCCGGACGGCTGCCGGAGGGAGCCTGCGGCTCGGGGATCTCGGCTCAGACGGGCTGCGGCTGTGTATGCGTGTACGCGTCTGTGTGTGCATGGACGCGTGTGCGTTCATGGACGCGTGTGCGTGCCCGCCGTGGTGCGGGTCGGGCTGGCGGCCGGGGCTGGCTGGGAAAGGAGCCCCGCTGCTGCTCGAGGAGCAGGACTAGCCGAACTGATCGGTTTCTCTGTGGCTTTGCCTCTCTTGTCTGCCCCGTTCTCCCATACGGTGCGCAGCCCGAGTGCTCCCTCGTGCTGTTACCCGTCACACCTTAAGCTGTCTATAATTCTGAAAGAGCACGACTAAGGATCTCTCTCCCCCCTTCTCATGTTGTAGGGGGGTGCCTGGTCTCCTCCGGTATGTAAGGCTGCTGTGCTTGCTTTCGCGTTTCTCTCTGTCACACACTATAACGATACCCCGGGGGTGTCGGTGAGTTACCCCGGAGCATGGCCCTGGTGCTGCCCCTGCCCTGCCCGTGCTGGGTGTGAGCCCACTCCGCGCTGGCCGAGTCCGTCTGCGGCATATCCTTCTCGCGCCCCTTCCAGGACGCCTTAAGTGAAGCAGAGCAAGTGCGTGTTCTCTGGGAACTGCTGCGTTTTATAATTGACACCTTAATTTCCTCTGCAACAGTTTGCTCATCTAGGTGATTGTGTAGATCGCTGTTCTGGCCTCACCACGCCAGTGGTGTGGATTCCAGCACTTTTCAGTACAGAGGTGGGCCTAAACGCAGGGATTTATCCACCGTGGTAGTTCAGAAAGCAGAGCAGTTATCCTTTAGAGCCCTGTGAGATTGCCCCATGAACCCTTCATCTGCCACATACTTAGGTTGAAGGTGAAAGCTACTGCCCGTGACATGTGAACTCCGAGGCCTGCCTGATGCTTTGCTCTTGCCCCATGGTAAAATGGAGACTTGGGGCCATTGGTGTGTGCTCTTGTCTGTTCTTAGGCACAAAAATAAAAAATAGCATCAAGTGGGGACTCTCAAGATAAAGGAAACTTAGGAGACTTTTTTCTTTTTTTTTTTTTTTGAGGCTGTATTGGAATCCAGATAAAAATAAAACCATCCTTTGAAAGATTGAGGATATTTGAGAAAAGAGGCTTTAAAGTGGATCACGAATAAACCTGTTTTCCACTAGATAAATCCTGGCAGGCAAGGAGTCAGGTGAACAGAAGAGGCTCACTATTTTGGGGGAAGAGTAGTAAAGAATTAATATAGATAAAATTTATTTTAATAAGGTAATTTGCCATGATATCTTTGCTGGTGACAGCTGGTACTATGTCAGTTTACAGGATAGTTACGCTCAAGTAGAACAAAGGGTAGCTGGGAGGGGACAGCTGGGTTTTGGTAATGTGCTCATTATACTATTGGCCAATAGGTATATTCCTGCGCAATGGAACTGCTAAGCAGCCTTCAGGCTTTGTGTGATGTTTGCAGGGTATTTCATGCGGAGGGGAATGATAATTACCCACCAGTTTGAAAAAAAGCCAATTCAAGTATTAGAAACTCAGAAATAAATAGCGTAAATCTGTACTTAGCTTCTTGTCATGTAAAACTTGATCATAATGTTACCTGTTTTTCTGATTTATATCGAATCTCCTAGAAAATTCCAGTCTTGAGTGGGATGTGGCTTATGGTGCTTTAATGTGAGTTGCTGTTTTTTTCTGGGCATTTAGGGTAGGTCACTGATAATTTATCTTCAAATGGATGAGGATTTTGTGCTTCCCCTGCACACTACTGAAATTCAACAATACACAACACTGAACTTAGTTCTTTTGTAAAAGACTTCATAAGGTAGTTTTTCAGGAGTTCTGAAGCTCCGTTGTCCATATGAAAAGACTTGATACACAGCTGGTGGCAGTGATGACTTTCCCTGAGTCAATCAGAGTGCTGACTTGGTTTCTCAGATAGCGCTGCCTTGGAAAGAAAATTGAAGGTGCCCAAATGGTGAAGTGAAGCTTTAAAAGCACATGGGGTTTTCCTTCTTTTAAAGTGGGTTTGTTTCATATTCTTTTACGAAAAGGTGGTTTTTAAACTGAAACTCACAACTTTGTCATGCAATAAATAGGTATTAAAGTAAATGCTTTAGAATCATAGTTGCCTTATCTGTTATTTATTTAAAATGGATCAAGTAACAATTGAAAAATCTCAGCATAATTATTGTATTTACCTGGCATTTATCTTGACTTAGCTAAAGAAAACATACTGATTCTAAAAATACTAGATCTTATTCCTAATTTTATACTGCAGTGGAGGTAGTATATGGATTCCTAGTAATACAATGGCTTTTGAAAGAGTAAAACACTGGGAAAAGCATATATACCTGTGGATGCCTAAATGAGGCGGCATGCACTTACTGTTTTGTTTGCATGGTGTAGGTGTTTTCTTTCAGAAGAGGGACCACTGTGATACAATGGGAGTGACCAGTCCTTCTGTTAGTTCTCAGCTGTACTCGCTCACGTTTTTTCAACCATGGCTCCGAGCGTTAAGCTGGAGGAAGCATTGCAGCTTTCTTCCCTTGCATTCAGACTGTTATTTTCCTGTGACAGCATGAAATCATGTAGTCATGCCTGCCCTGGCATAGGAAGCTCATTCTGGAGGCATATCTGCAGCATAGAAATTATTACCTAAAAACCATGGTTGACCAAAATCAGTGAATAATGGAGAAGGCAGAGAGGGGGACACATGCTGTTAGCTGAGTGTAAATGTTTTGGTAATCTGCTTTAAAATGCAGTTGTGTTTCTTAGTTTTAGTCAAGGGCTGTAACTGACTAGTACATATGGGTGGAAGTAGCTAATGGTGGTACAAAGAATGAATTTCAGAAGTGTTTCTCTTAACAAGATGGATCTTAATGTAATAGCCTTTGAATCTGCAAGGGTTTGTGGTACAAGTGTTGGGCAAAGAGTGTTCTGGGTTTCACTGTCTAAGTCTTCAGTGACTGCTTGTTGAAAGTCACAGTACATTTTTCCCTTTTCAGGTGTGTTCAGTTCATAGCTTTATTGTATTTTCTTGCATAAATGATGCAGAACCTCGGTAAACTTTACATAAAAAATCACTTGTAAGAGAAATAAAAGGAATTAAACTAAGGACCCGAGCATGAAGTTTTTCTATCAAGACTGAGCAATGAAGAAAAAAAAAAATAATAATTTTTCTTTGTTTTGATTCATTGAGTAAGAGTGTAAGAGTCTAGCTTAAAGTTTACATGGCAATGGTAATTTAATGAAATGCAACTCCAGCTGGTGTATCGGGTAGACTTTAGTTGTGGGACAGAGAAAACTGGAAAACCTAACTTACTGCTAAACTTCCACTTGACAGTAGTGCCTTTTCCTGCCCTTTTAAACTTCTCACCAAGTTTCTTTTTCAGTTGATCTTCCTTGCTTTCACCTACTCCTATTCCATTCTCTCTAGTTGTAGAGGGTGAAGAACTATTTAAGAATCACCAAAGCAGGACAGAGGTGCTAAAAGATTCAACAAAAACTAGGCACATCTTTTCATTTTGTGCACATTAATACTTTGACCTGTATTAAATCCTTTTTGAAGGACAGTAAATGGAATGGAATGTACAGTCTTTGTGAAGTCAGTGACCCATCAGGGGGAGTGGAGTTGAGCAAGGGGCTGTAGGTCCTCCTGGAGCCACTTACTTTACCAGTCCTTTGGTTAAGGTGAGAACCGTTTGCAGGCACAACCGAGAACTGGTATCTTGTGGAATCTGAGAAGTTGCTTAATTCAGCAAAGTTTCTCAACAAACATGGAAGGTTAGTCAAAACAGACAGCTACGAACAGGACAGTGGCAACCTTACTGGTTTATTCTATGCTGAAGTCCAAATACAAAATTAATCTCATTCTTTCTTTGTAAACAGCAGTTACTTGGCAGATGTTTGTCTTTGGGTTTCACAAGGCAGCTTTAACTGCAATAACTTGTCACTTCTGAAAAAATGGGGGGCTTCTTTCTTGTTCCGTATTTCTCTTTGCCAGTCCTGCTGCTTTTGTTTGGTGCTTTTCTTCTGAGAAGTCCAGGTAAAAATGAAATGACATTTTTTCAGTTGTACTAACAAATGTTACAAACACAGGTTTGGATGCCAGAGTTATTTACTACTGAAAAAGCTGAATTTCACAGGGTATTTCAAACAATTACTACACTTGGGACAGTGTTGGTATATACTTCATAATACCTAAGCTAACGTGGTACATGTAAGCATCTAACATGCCATAAATTAAGGGAGTTTCTTCATCTTCCCTGTTGCAAAACCACAGCTGCGGATTTTTTTTTCCGAAGCGTAAAAAGGTATTGCATAGTTATGGACTTTCTACCTGTATACACACACTTCCACTGAGCTGCACTGTTATTAGCAGAGATGCTTGGTGACTGTTACCACAAGCTTTGTAACAACACTTCTGGGTTTGGAGGGAGGTGGTGGTAAAGTAGGGTGGCATTAAGAGTATCTGAAGGGAGGACAGCCAGGATGAGCCTGTCAGTGAAAAGCCTGGGAGCTGCTGGTAAGGATTCCTACTTGCTGACCAAATCCTTCTCCCCATATTTCCATTGCCACAGGCAATTGGAAACTAAAGTTGACTGTAGATGCTACGTTCAAGTGAAAAAGTGTTTGACCAGGGTGTGCTCACCTTAGTTTTGTAGTTTGTCCTAGACTTCACTGAAGAATTCCTGAGGCTGTGGACAGCTGCGGTAGTGAAAGATGTTACTGTATTGCCAAGACTGGAGGAAGAATTTTTAGGATTGCTTCCTAAAGTGCCTGAGGGGAGAATCATCAGGGTTAGCAGGTCACAGGTTTATGGTATAGCTGTGGTTTTATAGGCACTACTTCTGCAGGCCGAGGTATATTTGTTGCTTAACAGGAGAGCTGGGACAGGAATGGTCATTGCTGCCTTCAAGGCTTTAGCAGGCTCAGTTTTCTCAGTTACTTACCCATAACTGTTTCTCATAAAATATATGCTAGCAATTAAGCTGGATGGTCTACCATAAAGTCTGAGGGTTTATTTTGAACTGAAACATTAAAATTATTGCCTTCTGGATCTTAACTGTTTATGTCATACTTTTTTAACATATGGTATGGTAAGAGATCTTTGACTAGCAGCAAATGATTTTCAACTCTAAACTAAACAAAATATGATGCCTATCTTATTTAAACTTCCATAACTAAATTAAATGCAGCTTATAAAAAATGAACTTAGACATTAAAGATAATGGTATCGTGTTGGTGCTGAACAATGCTTAAAAAATGTGTAATCTTTAACTTTGATAAATCTGCAGAGAATCCAAATATTTAATGTTTTCTATGTTGCACGGGTCGGCAGAAAGTATCTTTCTGTGCCTGTTGCTTCCATATCAAAAGAGGGGTTAAAGCTTTCTTTGTATTTATGCTCTTGCTTAATGTCTCCTTATCTTAAGCTTCTTCCTCTCTTTCAGATGGCTTGTTATTGCAGTTGGTCTAGTTCGAGCATACCTGGCTAAGGGTAGCTACCATAGCCTTTACTATTCAATAGAAAAGCCCCTGAAATTCTTCCAAACTGGAGCTTTGCTTGAGGTAGGTGTAGTCTTCTTCCCTAGCATTACTGATACTTGCATGAGTGTTTTGTTTTGTAGAAATAAGGTAGTCTTTGTTGAACAGCATGTTTATAGAGTGTTCTGAAGGTAAATGTAAGAAGAATGCCTTCACACAAGTGCTGAGTTTTTCCTTTTAACAATCGGGGAACTTGCTGCCTGCTATTTAGCTTGAGCAGCAGAGCTAGATATTTTCAATCTTTGAAATACAAATATTGAATCTTAAGCTCTTGTGGTAGAACTACGTATGTTTCTGAATTGCTTCATTTGAAATGTTAGTGATTTGGTTTTTTTCTTTTTGTTCTAGATTCTGCACTGTGCGTTTGGTAAGCTTATAAATTTTCAGTTTTATTGTTTTTATAGAAGACTGCAGTTTTAGCAGTGTATTAGCACAAAAAATGTTATGATCTATGAATTGCCAGATTTCATTCTTGCATAACTTACTAATTTTTTGCTTGAAGTACATTCCAATTTTTTCCTAAATAATTTGACAAGTTACATCAGAAGAAGGAAAATAGTGTAGCAGGTTTTCAATTACTTGATATTCTATTTTTATCTAGATCCTTCCAATGCTACAAATCTTAGAGCAGTTTATAAATGTTTTATAGTAGATCATTACTCTCAGTCTCTACATCCTATAATCTTCTGTACCGAGCTGTCTTTCCTCCAAGAAATATTTCTAGCTGGAACTAATTTAAAATCTGATAAAAATAACACTTCAAGCATGTAACTTTGCTCGCATCTCTAGAGCATAGATGTAAGTTGTAAAATTAGAAAGGGGTAACCACTCTTTATCCTGGATTTGGCTGTGCTTTAATGGAACTGTTTGGGAGAACTTAAGGCTTGACTAGACATTTCTTGATAGCCTGTACTGTGAGACTTCTTTGACAGCTTGGTAGTAGGAACTCAGTCGTGTGTGTGTAGCCATGGTGTTATGGTTCAGTCATCCTGAAGAGCCTCTGATGTCTGAGTGACAGGACTGTCTGGTTAGTTGTTGTGAGTAGTGAACAGTTTGGCCACAGCATTTGCATGTTTTATTCACAGAACAGATGATGTGTCGCAGTTTCTGCAAGATCAAAGCCAGTGTGCTATGAAAGGGAGCACTGCCTGTCTGCTTACCTTTGCTTAACTCTGATTTTTGTAAACAATTCAGTCTTCACAAAGAGACAGTCTTATGTTTAAGTAGTTGGTATTGTGATTTTAAGTGTGTTTGAGCTCCTACCTGAATGCTTGCTAGCCACCGTTTAAAGAGTAAGATGGCATTAAGGTTCCTAAAGCTGCAGCTATAAACTTGCTGTGTTGTGCAGATAATTTACATACTGGAGGGTGTAATAGATTGCTGGTTCATATTGAATTTCTGTGCAAAAGATTTTGTTGTTGTTGAATAACCAAATGTGTTAGCTGGAAAACTTAAGTTTATATACATACCTTTGTCAGCAGAGGGCAGTGTAATTCTTTATTTGATAGAGTAGTGCTGACCTTCCTGAATAATTAAGTTATTCTGAAAATGTTATCTTATAAAGGGCAGCCAGTAGACTGTTCACAGATCATCTCAAGAAATGAATGATCAATGAATGACTCTTCAAACTGATGTAAAGGCTTCTGAGTACACTATATGTTGCCTGTGCTGCCAGGGCAGTCCTTTCTATACCAGTTTATTTTGCTGAATGTTAATCACTTTTTTTACCAGAATAAACCATAATTATATTAAAAAATTCTCAAAAATCAATAATAACGTGAAAGCTTAGAAATCTTATTTAAACAAGTGACAAGAAGGACAATTTATCACTTTCAGATAAAATGCTATTTTACCATCCTAAATCTATAATATTCCACTGTTTTCTTAAGCTAAACTTGTCTGCACATGCCAGTGTTTGCTAATTTTTCAATGAAATCTAAGAGTGTAAAAATGTGGTTGAATTATCTTTTTCTCACACATTAGAATATATGTCCACACCAGTCAGGGAGAATCCTGTGTTTCACCTTCCAGGCAGGGGCAGAACAGCAGACAAGATGACTGTAGCAGCCTGGCTGTGTGCAAAGCCAATAATTCTGGCTCACTTGATTTGAGCTGTGGATCCATTTAGCCCTGTTATCCTCAGTTGCACAATTTAGTACTGGTGAAGAGAGCCATTAGTGGAATGTTGAGGCATTTCATACCATTATAATTCTATCTTTTTGCTTTCCCTAACAAAGTTTTTTACAAAATCCCCACTTGTTATAATTGCCCATAGATTTATTTTTTTTCTGTTAATGGAAGTATTTGTCAGCTAAATAAAGTGAGGGGGTTTTTGCACAGCTGGATATGCTGCCACTGTCTGCTGTAGTTCTACTGACTCTGGTAAAAGTTTCTGTGCAAGGAGAAACAGGAAATTTGCAGATTCTTTTGCCCCCACTACACTAATTGCTGTAACTAGAGCTGTAATTCTCTGCGAGTAGAGGAGCTTATATGTGACAGATGGCTATGTGTATCAGCATAACTTTTCTCTCCACATCTTTTGAGTGGAATCTGAAATGTTAGCATCTGTGAGGCAAGTTCTTCAAAATACAAAGATTGATAGGGGAATGTATCTATCAAGCACAATTGAGAACAGAACTTTGGCATGTGGCAAAGATTTAAAAAATGGAGAGCTCTACAGTAAGAGAGCAGGTAACATGTAGCCCAGAGACCAAGAGGAGGCACTGAAAAACAAGCAAATGGAAAGTGACTGTGCAATTCCTTGACTTGTGTAGCAGGCAGAACCCAAGAGTATGCATGGCATTGACAGCATGGAAGAGCTTCTCCCTGAAGGAGCTTGATTTGGAAATAAAGGTGGTAGGAGCTGCCAGAATGTGGAAGCAATAGTAGTAGCACAGGGATTTTGCAAAAGTAATAAAGAAAAGCAGGAAGGCTTTGGTGAGTACAGGCCCAGCCTACTGAACTGCTACAGTACCAGCGTTCCTCCCATAGCAGTGCTCACCAGTAACCTTCTGGTAAGCCAAAGTCAGCACTAGTGGACTTTATGTTAGTCCGCTCAGTTAGGAGGATACCAGGCTTCTCACCTGTAAGCTATGCATACAGCCTATTCTCAGCGAGAACTCCATGGAAGAGAGGAAGCACTTGGTGGGAGTTGGAAGGATCTCCTCTGGACGGTGTAGTCCAGGGTCTGGGAGAGGTCTGGGTATGGCTTACCTGGTGCTTGGTTCCGGACCTGAACCCTCTGTCAAGTACTGCTCTAGCATGTGAAGTGTTGTGTAAGTGGTGACAGGCGTTTTTAAAATGCCAAGCTTAAAATTGACTGTCAGGTAGCTTTTCACTTCAGTAAATAAATAATTAGAGGCAAGTAATGTTTATTTAAATTGCAGCTGATGAGTCACTTATTTTGATCTCCTGGTTTTGGCATAGATGAGCATTGTCTTGGCTATAATGAAAACCCCTGTGTGTCTAACTTGTGAGATAATCTTAGATGGTTCATACACAGTCTTTCTGGCTTATTTGTAGATTCCTTTGCAAGAACATTAGGTTATCTTGCATAGGGAGGAATGATCTAAATTGTATAAAAGGAAAGGTCTGTTTTATCATAGGAGTGAGCCTTTGTGTACAGATTGTGAGGTTTTAATAGCACCCCTTTTTGCGTTGTCCGAGTAACAGACAACAGTTCTGCCCTGAGGTTTTACAACAGAAATTAGATTATGAACAATTCGTGATGAAACCAGAGAACTGTGTGTAGGATTTTTCCTGCAGAGTAGCCCTCAGCAACTTTTAATGCTGCTCTACCTTTTATTCTAAAAGATTAACATAATGACTGTGTGACTAACAATAATAAAACTTGCTTTTAGCTTTTCTTCTTCTTTCTTCCTCTTCTACTTTCCAATTTTGTCTTGTCTTCTTCCTGAGGTTGTTGTGTTGCTTGCTGTGATTTGCATTATAGAAGCACTTTTACTGTATTTTGGGAGCTGCATCTGCTTTTGTGTTTTACATGCTATTACATGCTATTACAAGAAAATAAAACTTTATGCTGTGAATGTTAGAAGACCTGGACGTATAGGATCCTTTTAGTATCAGTTTAATCAGCACCTCAGAACTTAGAAGAACCAGTGAAATCTGCTTCCTTGAGAAAATCTTAAAATTTCTTCTGTGTCTACAACACATCAGCTATTCCTTGGGGTTTGGTTTGGGTTTGGTTTTGTTTGTTTGTTTGTTGATTATTTTTTTCTTAAGTTATACTCCTAAGAAGGAATTGTGAACTTTATCAGGCTATGAGCTGCATCAGTGTTCCTTCAAAATAGTTCTAACTTTTGCTTGCTGTTTTGAGGGTTGTATTGTGCAGAATATCTTTATTATTTTTATTCTTTAAATCATAATAATAAAAAATATCTTGGATAGTTCAGTGAAAAAGGGTTTATTTGAAAGACTGTACAGCAAGGCTGTTTGGTTGAGGTTATCTCATTCAGCTGTTTTGTGTATTAAGGAATGTGCTGTGATTGAAGGCTGCTTAGTTTTATTTGCATTTTGATGCACAAAGTCTTGTCAGTTACATGTTTTTACAGGCTAATGTAGTGTAACAGGACAGACTTCATACTCTCAAATTGGAAAAAATGAATGCTTTCCTTCCAAAGAAATTAAAATAACTGGACTTTGGCTTAGCTGTGGTTTATTTCCCCACCCCAGTAGTCAGAAATATTTACTAATTGCAAAATATCTTCCAGGCATTGTTCCCTCTTCTGTTGTTCTGACTGCTTTCCAAGTGATGTCAAGAGTTTTCCTGACGTGGGCAGTAACACATAGTGTGAAAGAGGTAAGTTAAGCTACAAAATAGGTAGAAAAACTAATAACCCATTCTAAAAAGCAAGTGTTGCTCTCTTTTTCTTTAAAATGACATGTTTGTATCCCAACATGTGAAATTTATGTGACTTTTTGAGGATGAAAAGAAATAGATCTGCCATAATCTTTTATTGACAGTCAAATAGATTGAGGTCTGATGTGCTCACCATAAGACATCTAGCTCCTGAATAGGTTTTGCAGTGCTTACTGAAAGTTAGAGAGGTTGCAGTGTGTAATACATACCCCAGAACTGAGGACAGTGTTCTAGTATTGATCTCACCAGTGCCATAATTAGTAAAATCTCCTCATTGCCCCTCTCTTTCATGCACAATTTGCTTTCTTTACCATGGCACATGGGAGCTCTTCCTCAGCTGTTTGTGCACAGCAATGCCTGGATGTTCTCTGTTACCACTCTCCAGGAAAATCTTCCCCTTGTCCTTCATTCGTTTTTCTTGCATTCAAGCACAGGTGGGGTTTTGGGCCTGTGAATTTTTTCTCATTGCTCTATTTTATACAAACCTTTGCAGAATCTTTTGGAAGCTGTCTTATTTGGAAAGTGTTCGTGACAGCTGTTTTAAAATCTGAACATGCTTTAATTGATACAACTGATGCTGGGTCTTTCATGTCATCTGAATACCTTGTAGTAGCCCAGATATGCTGCATGTGTGGTGTTACTTTAGCCAACCAATTTTACTGGTTTTCCTCTTATTAAAGAGGGAAGTCAGTCTTGATGCCAGTGTTGGCATATCTGCCTGAAGTAAAAGATGGTCTTCTAGTGTCACATGCATGAGATCTTTTGTGACTTGACATGAAGAATGTCTTAAGGAGCTTGTCTTATTACCAAGTCTTCAGGGAAGCTGCTCTCTTTTCCTTACTCCTTCCTCTGTTATCAGAGTTTCCATCCACATGTACAGTAACATAAATCACTGTAGCTCCTAGTAATTGACAGCCCATTCTGATATTATGATGCTTGTTCTTGTGGAGCCATAGTTTAATACTATTTAAAGTGGAGGAATGTTATTAAAAAAAAAAACAACAAAAAAAACCCAACAACAAAAAACCCCACACCAAAATCTTGGAAATACCTTCTGATGGATTTCACTTTTGCTGCAAATAAATGTACTCCAGCCTCTGTTAATTTACTAGAGATAAATATTAGATTTTGACCAAAAAAAACCCACCATGTAATCCCAAAACAGATTTTAAGATACATGCATAAAATATTTTTAAAGAGCTATGCCTGTCATTTTGCTTGTTACCTGTATGAAGCTGGGGTACTTGGTGCTTCGTAATGAACAGTGGTAATCTGTTTCTTATGAATTGCCTCCTGCTTTTGAAGTAACCCAAGTGTTCAAGGTTGGATTGCATGGATTAGGATTATTCCCTGTGTTGTCTGTTAGGCATCAAAGGCAAGTCTGTAAAATTATTGTTGATTAGGGTTTTTTGAAACTTCATGCCCACACTCTCACTGGAGAAAACCAGCAAAATGGGAGAAAATGTGAGCAACAAGTTCAGCCCAATATTCAGTGTTTAGCAAGCAAGGACTTTTTTAACAAGGATTCTTTCAACAATATTACACATAGGGTGGGTTTTTTTTTCTCGTGTCTGTGTGGTCTTGTAGCTGAAGTCTTGTGATTATGTCTTATTTTTATTAATGTCTTAGAAAGTAGCCGTAAGAATGGTAAGGATGAGGAATCCTGTGATGAGTTTTTCACCTGTGACTTAGAAAATAAATCAAATTAAGAGGTTGTATTCTAACCTCTCCCCTTCCCCCCCAGCCAGAGAGCACACAGTCTCACCTGTAGAGTTGTATTGAAAGTGTCACAAGTGTTCTACTTTTTCTAAAGGGCTGTCTGCACAAGTGAGCTCCATGGTGAAGTCCAGGATTAAATTCTCACACAGCTTTATGGAACTTGTAAGCTATGCAGTTGCATGATGAGGTTCTTGTAAAATAAAACTCAGTTATCCTCTTTAACTTTTTGAGTGAGACTTGTTCAGTATCTTGCTTTTCCAGACTGTTTTCATATATAATACAGTTAAAAGAAGAAACGTGTATTGCATCTCTCCTTTCTGTCAGAATACACTTCTGGATATGTGATGTGATTTGAAGCATGCTTCTTGCTACTAACATGTTTGTGCGTTTTGTTGAATTTAGTGCTGATGTGTTGTTAAATTCAATACGAAAGTATTTATAATAAATGTTAAAGCATGGCAAATGTTAAAGCACTGCACACTTTGAGTAGCAACGAGATTCCCCTTAACTCCATCATGAGTAGCTGTTAGCTTAGTGGAGGAGGGCCTGGCCTGGCATGTAATACAGTACTTGCATTTGTTTTGTCATTACATCAGAAAGGAGTCAGTTTGAGTTTTGCTGTTTCTCCTACAAAGGAGGAAAGAGAATGAGCAGTTTGGTGTGAAGGGCTAGAAGAAAGTAGGCATAGGACAACACGAGGTGCCCTTCAGTTTGAAGTTGTCTTTCTGAATTTGGGTGAACAATGAGATCATCAGGCCTTCCTAGAGTTCCATTCTGATAGATAATTCTGCACCCAGTTCTGGTGGGTAATTAAAAATTATGTCAGCAGTGATTTACTGCTTGTCCACTTGGGTTCAGTTATAGATATATTGCAGATAAGTATAGTATGTATTTAGAGGAACCTTTCTAGAACATGCAGAGAGAGTGGTGTGAAGATGACATATATAGTATATTGAGCTGGTAATTAAGACTCTGGTATCTGCAGTTGTGAACTGACATCTTCAATCAGTAACAAAGCATGTTAAAAGGGGAAGAACATCTTAAATTATGATAGCTAAGACTTAAGTTGTAGTAAGAGAAGCCCAAGCTGCAAAGTTCAGAACTCTAAATGGGCGAGTGCAGTTGAAAAGCCTGATTCATCACTGCTTTACATCTATGTAAAATTTTAGTAATTCTGTGTAACACAAATGTCTGTCAGGGCCTTTGTGCCTTCTGTGAAGCTTTCTCTCTGGACATTCTGTTTCATCATTATAGTTGCATAGTGTTGCTGGTTTTACTCTTCTGCACTGGATTGCTTAGTTATTTGTTTAGCTGAAATTTTTTTGCAAATAATTTGTCAAACTGTTACTCTTAATGTGGAGAAATCTGTAGAATTTCCCTTTCTGTGCATAAGGAGAACAGTAAAAACCTCCTGGGTTTTATTTCATCAATTCCCAATTGTCATCTTTGCATCTTAAAAGGCTGTGGGTTCTCTTGTGTTTTAACAAACATTTTGTGCTATTCATAATACTGAAGATAAGCTAAGCTATATTTAGAACCCTCCTTGATGATAAACTGGTTTGAAACATAGGCCAAAAAATATGCTCATTGTATGACTGGCATATTAAGACAGTTGGACAAATAAATTGCAGATAAAGCATAAAATATGTTTTGACTTTGTCCAACACCTCCTTCAAAGACTAGCATGAAAAAGTAGAGGAAGAGAAATTGAGTTCTGAGGGCAGAAGTGGCCTTAGTGATTTATTAAGCTGTACTTAGCTGTTTCTGAGCTCTACTGTCCCCTTATCCTCAGCTCACAAGAACAATACAAATGCAGCATTGGTAGTGCCTAAATGAATAAGACTCTTGAGAGACTGCTTTGTGTATGAGTTCCCAGGGGTTTGATAATGTGCATCTTGGACATCTTTATTTGATGTATTGAAAAATTTTCAGTCTTCAGAGAGGTGTTCTAATAGTGACAGACTTCTGACAGGTCTGTTAGTTCGTAAGAATCGTTCTTTTTAATGATGAGCTGTAGAATATAGGTAAAATGTGGTGATAAAATGCACAGTAGTCTTCTGTTCCTTACTGCACAGAATGGAACTATTTGAAAATTGTATAGGAATGAAAACTACTGCTGTTTTCCAGTATCCTTTCTTCCTTTAAATAGGGACACAAGCTATAAAAGCACAATCAATGATTCTTTAAGGGACTTTAACAGAGTTGTAGATGTTTTATAATGGTGTGAACTGTTTTAATAACTTCTAAACTTGTGAAGGCAGTGTTACAGAAGCCCTGTGATAGAGCTGGATTCTAACTGCCAGATTTTCTATTTCTATGGGTATCATTCACTGTTACCTTCACAGTTTCTTGTCCTTGCTTATATCCTCGGGTGCTACTTGAAGCTACAAATTTTTGGTTGTTGGTTTTACTGACTTCTGTAGATAGGGAAAGTGTGGTTTCGAAGTACAGTGAAGTTTGTGGCTCATACATTTAGATGAACTGACTAAGCTGCTACTCCTGATTTGACCAGAAGATGCAGCTCTGGAGTGCTTGTGAAGCACTCCTTGAGATCAGAAACATCTGTGAAGTGCTGTTAACTTTTCCAGGTTGAGAACTAAGTCTTGCTTATGAAGCAGACCCCAAACAGGATTAGGATCCTGTAGCAGTGTAAAAATAGATTTGGTTTCTTTTTTGAAAGTGTTCAAGTAAGTTTTGGATTTTGTTCTGTTATGATGACACAAGGGAGATCAATATATAAGCAAACTATCAGAGTTTCCTGTGGAAAAAGAACAAGGTGCATTTGCTGTGAAGCGCAGTGAAAGTGACTTGAAATGCTATACGCAGCAGAATGTAGATTTACAACAGCTGTACAGTCCAGGATATCCCAAGATTTATAAATATTTCTGGATTTTGTAGTTTGTAACAGAAACATTTTTATGGGTAATTCTCATGAGTGTATTTACACACAAATACATGGTCAGTTCCTTCCTATTAAAAGATTTCTGATTGATTTCTGATTGCCCTTATATTTGCTCCTTTTTTGGTTTGTACGTGTACTTTTCCCAAGATGAATAGAGTGTACCACCCACACCTACTGACTTCCTTTTTCCTTTTTTCAAGAGTTGGAGGGAAAAAAAAAAAGTGGGCCCTGTGGCTGAGCTCTTTTTTTCCCACGGTCCTCTGAATTTGGGCACGAAGTATTTGCACAGTTAAGAATACTGTTGAAAAGGAGGGAAGGAAGCAAAAGGCTGCATAAAAATCATGTTTACTCTTAATAATTTGTAGTGCGTGTATGTGACCCTATAGACTACTTCATCACTGCTATTCCGTCTGAAACTTAAACTCGTAATTATGCTCCCAAGTCTAATAAATCTAATAATAAATTTCAGAATACATCTTTTGAAGGTTACCCTTCAAAATATGAAGGGAGTAAAAGCTAGTTCAGTGATGTGTGTCTGAAATAAAAGCTCTAAGAGGTGTAAAGCAATGAAACGTAGTAACACCTTGAGTGTAACATTAGAGGAATTAGGCTGGATATAATATGCAGAAAAGGAGCAAGGGATAGTGAAGCAGGTGGTTGCAAAGCTTATCCAAGGTGTGACAGTCTGAACTTCTGCTTTTTCTCTCTTCCTAGCCTGTGTCCTGGTGGTGTTCTGCTGCTGCTCAAAATTAGGACCAGTTTCTCATCTGTAGAATGCTTTTGCTCAGAAGTAGCATGGACTAGGATCAGAATATAGGTATCAAGTGTTAGAGTAATGTGTTAGCATCCTTTCTTCTTGCTGCGTTAAGAAGGGACTGAAGTAGAAGTTGGTACTACATAGTAATAAGAAGAGGTTTGAGTTGTTCTCAGCATTTCAGGGTTTTCTTATACTGACTTAACTTGCACAGAATGGGAGATCTTAAGTTATCTGATCACCAGGCAGAGCTATTTTTAAGCAACTAGAAGAAGATGGAGCATGATAAGGGTTTTTAACTGCTGTTACTAATGTTGCTTTTAAGCTCATTCTTGGAGTCTGTTCTCTAAAATGATGCCGTAAAGCAACCCATGGGAATTGATTTCTTTGAGGTTTTCTTGGGTCTGGTGAGTAATTAGTAATACTTTAATTCGTACTGAGCTTTTTTCCTTTTTTACAGGTACAAACTGAAGATAGTGTCCTGTTGTTTGTAGTGGCCTGGACAATCACTGAGATAATCCGTTACTCTTTTTATACGTTTAGCTTATTAAACCATCTCCCTTATCTCATCAAATGGGCCAGGTAGGTGGCATAATAGAAATCATAGTCTTAAAGCACTGATTTGAGAGGGATATTTGTCTTGTAAAATAGTTGCAGTATAAAAATTAGATTCTGCCTTGAGGTAGTTGCCTTGTTTGTGAATGTGACTTCCTAGCTTCTTTCCAGCACAAAAAAAAATGTATTGCACTGTAAACTGAAAGAATATACTGTCAGAACTCTGCCCTATTTACAAAGTGATTGTCAAAACTGATATTTAACAGTTAGGGGTAACAGTAAGTAAATTGACATTTAGCAGTAACCCTTGAATTCAAGGGTTGTACTTGAAACAATCTGTAAGCTCATCGATTAGTATCAACTGTGTTTGGCCTCATTTTAAGCAATATAATGACCTCTACCAAAGAGTTTAAAATTCAGAGTAACAAGGGGAGGGGGTAAGGAGGGAGGAGGAGAGGGTAGGTGACAGTAGTTTTGAGGAGTTTTTAGATCCACAAAGGTGATCTTTAAGTAATTGAAACTAGTTGCTGATTTGAATACTTGTCTTGCAACAACATTCATGCCTTGCCATACTTCAGTCAAATAAAAGCTAAGGGAGTTGAGAATCTAAAATTTTAATATCCATAATATTTAGCAAGTGCTTTGTTAGAAGTTGTCATAACTTTTAATCATTTTCATAAATGTTTTGTTCTAGGTACACTTTGTTTATCGTATTGTATCCAATGGGAGTCTCAGGCGAGTTACTCACAATATATGCTGCATTACCCTTCGTCAGGCAGTCTGGCTTGTATTCCATTAGTTTACCTAACAAGTACAATTTTTCTTTTGACTACTATACATTCCTGATCCTGGTTATGATCTCCTACATTCCAAGTAAGTATGAGTTTGTTAGGGTTTTTAATATTAAGAGCTGTAACAGGAAAAAATAATAGTTATGGGATTAACATGCATGTAACTAATTTCTCAAAATTAATTCTGAAAGATATCTAAAGGAAAAAGAGAAAGTTAAAACCGCAAGGATTTTTTCTACCAACACCTGCAAAACAGTAATACATGTTTTCACTCTTACAATTGGAATATAAAATTACTGTGGTACTTTTTTGGCAGATGTTGACATCATTTGCCCCCCAGACTTTTAGGAGGACAAAGTTCAAACCAGCTTCTTAAAATTCAGTCCTTTTTCAGGAATAGGAGCATTGTTTTTCATATTAGTGGGCGGGGAACTGTTTCTGTTGAATTAACTTGAATTGACATGATCCCTGGTTGATGTTTCTATAGATTGGATGAAGATTTGGCTTTGCTGCTTTGAAATGGAGAATAGGAACATGGAAGTCTTTAGCAAATTTAAATGTGCAAATAAAGTCTAACGTGTAGAATAACGTAGTTATGATGTTGCTGCTGTTAGCTGTATCTGTAGCTGTCTTCATATGAACACTGTGAAGAATGATAAATCACATTCAAAGATAAAAATTTGAGTAGGGTGTCTGTCTCTATAACAAGCACTCACACTTTCAGTGAACCATATTGTAATTCTGACATCAAGGTTCCTAAGTTTTTCCAGCTGTTCTTGAAAAAGCACTTTTCATGCCTTTGTTTCTCCTTGTCCCCGTGATGGTGATGTTCTTAACCAGGCAGCCAGAACTTTGTTTTAGTCAAAATAACCATGAGTATAAATTACTCGTGTGATAGTTAGATCACAGGCCATTTGGGGGGGAGCCCACCTTGAACCCAAGTAAGTTTCATCCTGCTTTCTCCATTACAGTTGCTATGTCTTAAATGAGGTCTTTTCTGTGATCCTTTATAATTTGCTGGATATGTAATGTTCATTGAATGAAGTATTTATTTTGTTTTTATTATTTTTTAATTATTGTGAATTGGTATCTGAACTCCAAGAACCAGCTGCTTGGAATTAAGTGATCTTAGGTGCCTTCTCATCTGAAGGTATTCCTGAGATACACGAAAAGCAAGTGTTCATTGCAGTCATTGATTACACTGTAGTTCAGTTATTCAGTCATAAAAGCTACCTGTACAAGAGTTATGCCCTGTGACCCTACTGAAGATCTTGGTAACTGTTGTTAAAGTGGAGGGGTTTTTACGTTCTAGATATTTGCATCTTACCATTTACCTCACTTTATATCTCTGAATTAGTACTTATTTAGTGTCTGTCAAAATTGATATTTTTCTAGAAAAGATGTCATTAAATTATTTGCCTATAATGCATCCCCATTACTTAGACTTCTAGTGGAGAAACCATGTGGCTGTGTATTCTGTTATGTCTCTGGATAGCTGTATTTGCTTATTAAATGAGTGGCGTGAATCAGGATAAGGACAAAACAATCACGAAATCAAATACAGGGTAAAGAAAGCCAAAAGAAAAAAATGTTGACCTGAAAAAAACCAAAACACAAATTAAATAGAATTTGACTTATGTTATGATTAACATTTTGCATGTGTAACATAAAATTTAGGCTAACGCTGACCTTGCTTTATTTTTATGTGGTTCACAAAAGTTTAGTGTCTCACGGCAATTTTAGCTTTTGCTGTTTATAAATGTAACTTTTCCATACCGTATTCTGCAAACATACTGTGTAATGTAGTCTTAGAAATAGGAGGGGAAAAAGCTTTGTGTGGAGGGTAAGGAGAGAAGAGATGCACGAGGCACTGGTTTGTATAAAGTTCCTTAAGTCCTGAAAAAGTGTCATCAGAATTGAAAGAAATGTAGCAAATCTGGAAATTCCATTCTTTTGGAAAGTATTTTCTTTCTGTTGTGTGTGTGCAGTTCAGGAAACTTTTGTCATCCTGCTTGTATGTGCACAGTTAAATAAGGCATTTTGCATTTAATTCAAAATGCTGTTCCTCTAGCAAAAGTTAAATAGTACCTGAAGCCTAAGGACAGTATTACTTATTCTCTTTAAAGAATAAAAGGCAATAGACAACTTGAGCAAAAAGCAGATAAGCATGTTTTCTTTTAATAGAGAATTGATGACCTTCTGCATGTGACTGCACATCTTACACTGATATGTAAGCCTCACTTCATACTTTATTTACTTAAGTCTGTTTTCTCTTCAGTCTTTCCTCAGCTGTATTTTCATATGCTACATCAGAGGCGAAAGGTACTCTCTCATGCTGAAGAACACAAGAAGTCGGAGTAATTTCAAGTCTTTTTCAGAACTTTTCAAACATCAAAATGCTGCAGATTTTCAATACCCAGCACATTTATAAAGAATATACCAAGATAATATAAGTCAGAGGTAAAAGACCAATAATTTAACAAGAATAACCAATAAATCTGATTTCACTGAAATTCCACAATGTAAAACATTTAAATAATTTTCAGCTTGCAGTGCTTCAGAAAACTTTTAAACTTTGTGGCTTGGCAATTAGCCTTTTCCTTTTTTTTTTTAAATGATCTGCTAAAGGGTTTCATTTATTACTAAATGCCTGAAGGTTGCAGTATGAGTGATGAAGTTATACCCACTAAATGCTTGAATTGGGATTATATTACTGATACCTCTTTTTCTTTAAGTGCTTGACTGCATGCCAGAAACTGTACGTATTGCTGTGAAAGCAAACAATATGCTCTGGAATACTTTATGATTTCTGTCAGAGACTCCAGTGAAGAATGTAATCTGGGCAAAGTGTCTGAATTAAAGGTAGGTTGTGTATTTAAAGGGTGATGGGAACAAGAACAGGAAAACATTTACGGGAAATGAGGGGAATGTGGTTCTTTAGGAATTTAAACAGTAGGGTATCTGACCAGAGTGTGTTCTCTGAAGATCTCATTTAAGTTGATTACTTAAATGCTAATGTTAATTCAGAGGTTGTAATGCTTATCTGAAACATTAAAACTCCTCTAAGTGCTGCATCCCTGGATAATTTTTTTAATTAAAAAAAAACCTAACTGTAATATTTCTAGTGATATCAGTAATGAATCTAAACAATATTAGGAGGCAAGTCACCCAGAAACAGGTGCAGTTCTCCCCTTTTTTTACTTGAAGTTATCATCTCTAATCACTGTCCACTCAGTGGTACTCAGCTTTCAGTGTTGAGGACTATTTGGTCTACCGTGGAATCATGTGAGGGCCTTGGTCCTCAACCTTACTTTTCTCAAGTGACTGAAGTGTATCACTGGCACATCCAAGCAGGCAGTTCCAGGCACTCGGCTTCTGAAATGTTGCAAACATGTAAGCTCCTTCTTTGAAAGCGGATCATCTCATGTGTTACGTGCTGCATTTGCAGATCAGGCAAACCTTCCCTCATCTGCTCTTTTGGAAGAGCAGAAGGCCATAGAAAGTTAAATTTTCATAGGTGCTTTCTCTGGGTTCTCAGGCTAAGCCTTCTTTTGGGAAGGTAAAACACAAAATGAAAGACCTGAGAAAACCTTGTAGCGAGGCAGAAAGCACTAATGCTAGGCAAGCATTGCCCAGAGTTACAAATGAACTGTTGACAGGGAGTGGAGGGTGGGAAATGGGAAGGATTAAGGGAGGGAGCAGCTTAATGAAGGTGAAAGGAAATGTAGGTTATGGCTTTCGCTCTATCAAATAGTCCTATCTTAAAGCAGTCAGAGCCACTAGACAACAATACACAGGCTTCTCTGGCTTCCCTCTTGTAACATCATGATTTAGTGCATAAATGAGGTATGACCAGTACTATGGTACTTGCAGTACTAGCCTAGTACTGTGCATGCCAGCACCTCCCCCTGGATATGGCCCATAGCTGTGTCCCAGTTATTTATTTGCTCTCCCTGAACATAGCCAATAAGTACTAAGGGCACAGGCTCTCTGTTCTAGCACTTAGGGAGAGCTGGATCTACAGTTATTTTGGTTTATGTTTGACAAAGCTATATTTAAGAATGCCCAACAAAAAAAAAAAAAAAAAACCCAACAGCCTTTGCATTTTTCAGTAATTTTTTTTTGGCTCCATCAAAAAGTCTGAGTGAATTTCCCTAGCACTCAGTAACATATGTAGCACCTTTAATGCTCAGCACAAACAAGACTACTATAAGCAGGGAGAGGGAAAAGAGACAGTAATGATCTTTGCTTCTATTTTAAACCTTTTAGAGACAGTTATTGGCTGTATTCAAAGACTCTATGGCTATATACATCCTAAAATGGGTTTGCTTTCAAAGATGCAACAATTTCATTTCTCCGTTAGGTTATGTGGTGGTTTGTTGTTGTGATCTGAGAAATGTTACATCACACTGTTCAACAGTGTAAGCTTCCACCTCAGAACAAAACATCTCCTTTTACTTATACTTGCTATCAGGAGTGCTATCAGGAGCATATTCATAGAGGATATGCTCAGCTCATGAACTTTTCTGGATTTGATTTCTGCGCCCAAATAAAAGATAAGGTTTCGGATGTGTTAATCCAGTTTGGAGAAAAATGGCTGTGTAACATTCATAGCTCTGTTGATGAGAAAGATACAGTACAGATCTGTATTAGATAGCATTGGCACTATGGACAAACAGAGCTGCCAGCAGGGAGAGAGCTTATACAACCCGCATCTTTACTGAATAAGCTTTGTTAGAGAATATTTACTTTATTGAAAGTATTAATTTGCCACACAAATGCAAATGGACTACAGCCTTTTAAAAGAAAATGGAGCTACTTTTCCTTTTAAGAAGAAAAATAAAATGCTTTGATAATAAGAAATCCTGTAAGCCAAGTTGATTTAAAAATTATATTCTCAAGTATGAACATGCAGTTAGTATGTACAAGAATTCCCTCACTTCAGCTTGCAGTGCTTTTTCAAGTTTGGCTTCCATGGAAATCACTGGAAGGTGATCTTGAGAACTGTAGTGCGATGCCATAATACTGTTTGAATTTTTCCCTAACACCAACTTTGGTCACATGTGGGGTTTTTTCCTTCTCATAAAGTAAGAACAAATTTTCCCTCACCTGTCACTGAAATTCTAATGTGGTTTGTGTGAACTTTATAATAGAAGCTTTGATTAGTACTCTGTCACAAATCTAGAGTTGTTTTTCTTTACCCACAGACTATTTACTTGGCTTGCATGTTTTCTATCAGCATCACCAAACTTCTGCTGCAGCCGTGTCTTCTGCTTTAAGTACTGTGTTGTGTGCACTGATGCAGTCGACAGTACTTTCTGTTCTACCATGCTGGCTCTGAGTTAGTCATTACCCTCTAAAAGACCAAGATGTATATCACTGTATAGTTTACAACTGGAATTACAGAGATGTTCATATTGTAAATTACAGTAAGATGCAGGCTACAGTGCAGGTAAATTGTAATTTTTCACAATGTGATGTTTCTATCAAAGGTTGGGTTGTTGTTTATTTATCAGTATAAAGGTTGGCATTTGTGTGGACCAATCTGCAGTGTCATTTTAAAACTTCAGCTTAAAAATGTCATAAGTATACATCAAATCATACATTTTGATGTATATTTGTCAGTGAAATTTGGGTGAAAACTATATACAGCCATTTTTGTATTTTTTCTATGTTGTGAAGAATAAAATTGTAATTTTATAAGTCTGATTCACTAAGATTATTATAAGTTAAATGTATTTTTTGTATATTTAGGAATCTAGTATTACCTGGAGCTCTGAAAGATTAAGCATAGACTTTTTATGCATGGTTGGAAGATATTTCTACTTGATAATTCAGTGAAATGGTTTGTATGCTAAAATACTTGTCCATGTTGTTGCCTTGTGAAATGGATTCTGTGCTCTCTGCCTGGATTTGGCCTACTGATCAGTGATACTAATTGCTATAATCCAAATAAAATAATTCTGAACAAAAGATGTTGTATTGTTACTGTTTAAAGAACAAAAGCAGATACTTCATGAATGCCAATTAGGGATGTGGTTTTATTCATTTGTATATAATGTGTACCTTGCAATTTGCAAGATTTTTTTGGCATATGTAACTTCTAAGCTGTTATGAATGCTGTGCTTTTCACTTTTAAAAGAGGCATTCATAACAGCATGTTAACTGACTGTGTCAACATTCAAACTTAAAACTTCCTGAAGGATCCTCTATAGAATGCAAGCTTTTTATTCTTTTGAGGTTATCTGAACTGTAGATAGTGATGGTTTTCTACAAAACCAAAATCATTTGAGTATTATATAGTGGAATGTTTAACTAATGCAACAGATACTTCAGAGTTCATTTACTAAATATAATATGTCTGCTACCACAGCAACATTCTTAGCATTAACACTTCCTTAGAGAGATTTAAATACTGTGTCTAGATGCCATTAATGCTCATAAATAACAAATAATAATCCTCTAATTGGAACTGAGTAGTAATTGCAGAGTGGGTTCTATTACTCTAGGCATATGCTTGTCATAAGATTGAACAACTACAGTGATTTTTTTTTTTGTTTGTTTGATTGCAGACAGGATGAAATAACGTTGTCATGCCCAGTTATCTGCACATGTCCAATGCATGACAACTGTGACTTAGCACTACTGTGTAATTAAAAACTTCTCTTTGAAATGTTATGCTGTGAAGAGTGGTGCTGAGCTGCATATGTGCCTTAGAATAACTGTTGATGATTATTTCTGTTTCCTCTTTGCATTTTGAAAACAGTATGTGTGGAAACAATTTTAGTTACCTAGGGTAACATTTAAAAGTCTGAAAAGCATAAGGATTCTGTGTTTGTAAGCAAATTAATCTCACAGTAGTACTTAAGGCTTATCTTAAAGCACTGGCAGTTCTTGATGTAAGACTTCAGGAAGGGTCTGTGCTGGTGTTCCGAGTTAAAAATAAAATTATGTGAATATCTGTGGTTCAGTTCTGTTTGATATGGACTGGGCATTTCTAGAGTTGGTTGGTTGATTCAAGCCACGCAACTGTCTGGAACTTCCAGTCAGTATTAAGTGGCTTTTACATTCTGCTTCCTGTCTCCTGTGGAAATACTTTTCCACATGTGTCAGAAGACTTCTCATACTACCTTGAAACAGTTGGAATTAAAAATGTGAGTGGAAAATTCCAACTCATTTAATACTGTTGGTCACTGATTTCCAGAATAATGCCTTCTTTTACAGATAGATTATAAAGCCCTTTTTTTGTCTTCAGAAATTAGTTGGAGCTTGTACTGTCAGAGATGTATTTTTCTCTTTGGTATGCTGATATTGATAATGTGCTACTATTAGGGAAAGAGATGCAACTGTCAATATTCTACCTTAATTTTTCTAGGGGTTTAATACCTAAATGCATATTCCATGATGTCCTGGGTTCAGGACACAACACATGATAAAAGCATAATTAACAATATTTAGAAACATTTCCATGTCTAGTTATACTTCCACAAACTCTGTCACAACAAGCTGCCTCTCTGTAGATTGAATGAATTTTGTATAGTTTGTATATAGAAACTTTGTATTACCTGGTACTACATAAGGATGTTGTTATCGGGAAATTCATTAGTGAAAGTTTTTGCAGAGATTCAGCTGAATTGTGAACACTGAATTGCATTTTGTCTTGGCTTTTTGGCTCCTGCTTCAGATGGTTTGCGGAAGATTATGCAGACTGTTAGTACTTACAAGTCTATGTTAAAAACTTTAATAGTGACATTTTCTAGTTTGAACACTTGAACTCACACAGTCATATTTGCCGTGTCATCTGGGGCACTAGCGTGGGTTTCTAGAGTTCACTCTAGAAACAGTGAGTGATATTCTGAAGAATATGTATATGTATAGGCATTCCAGGTACCTTTTCTAAAATTAGTTTTAAGTTGATGTCAATTTAAAAGTCAGGCCTTTGTTACTCATGTATCTAGCATGCCTACAAAAAATTTCGTGAGGAGGATATGTCGAAGTGGGAGGGCCTTCCAGTCAGCCTAACACTAGATTGCTTTTAGGAAGTCAGTTTGCCTTCTAGTCAAAGGTTTCTTCA